TTTCTGTCTCCTCACCCCCCCCCCCCCCCCCGCCAGTGCTGGTATGTTTTCTAAGGCTCAGGACAAGGCGACAGTTCAAGGTCAGGTCTACCAATACAGTGGAAAGGGAAGGATAGACCTATGGGAGTAATCTTCTAAAACACTAATTTACGTGACAGTCAAATGTATACTTGCTCACAACTTTAAGGCTACTAGCTTTTTTTGCTCACGAGGTAGAATTTCTGCTCACAACACAGTGGACCTTAGAAGGAACATTGGCTTAGGACTGTCATACCCCCAGATCTGAAACACTGTACCCCCTCTGCTTAACGGTGACACACTGCTTTTAAAAGCAAGCCTAAAGACAGGGAAGGTCTCCTGCACAAAGAGTTGGTGAGCCAACTGGATGGCAGGCCCAGCCTCACCCTTCCCTGCTTTAACAGCTTAACTGTCCTCCTTCATGGCAGGGTGATGACTCCTTTATTCTTGCCAATCACTGATCAGCTACTGCACTGCTGGCACCCTACTGAAAGGTAGGTGGGGTTCCCGTCGTGCTCAGAACACAGCCACCCAGCTGAGCAGCTGGCCAACAGCAACTCAGTTCTGCTGCCCCCTCCCCAACATCTTGTGAACTTCTTTAATATTAAAAATATTCAAATATCCCTATCCATAATATGCCCCCCGTTACCTCCCTTTAATCTTTCCCCCAAAATCTTGCTGTTTCCCCAACTGAACATCTTCCATGGGGGGTGGGACTCACAGCATTTGTCTCAGAAACCTACAAAGGTAACTGTGTGTCTTGTTGCTTGGCTGTCCCTTTCACCTTGTTTTCCCCTTGGTTTATCCAACTTCTTTTGAGCCTTCAAGACAAGAATGATCTCACTGCCTCTACAATCCTGCTATCTACTCCAAGCCTTGGAATACTGCAGGTTATAAACAAAACAGAGCAGATAAATCCTTAACCTGCAGAGGGAAATGCCTTAGCTCAACAACACTACATGACAGCAAGTTGCACTCCTTAATAAGTGTGATTGTTTAACAATGCACAGAGTTTGCTCCTCTTAAGAGTTCACTGCCTTTCTGTTTAATTAGGTGTCTTGTTATTTTTCTACTACTGAGAAGATGGTAAAGGAATTTAAAGAGTCAGCCACCTGGTAAAACCCAGGAGCAGATGCCTAAATTTTACTAACACAAAGCTGATCGATTACCCTCAATAAGCGCACAGCAGGGAAATCTTGTAAGGATCCTTAAGATGAGAGAGGAGCACAAACATGTCTCTTGGCAGATTTTGTTGTTGTTGTTTTAAAGGAAGATTTTCATGGCCTTTTCTATAAGCCCTGAAATACACAGAACAGAGCTTTGAATATGAAATTCAGCAACAGAGGCGAAATCCCTGGAAACAAAGCTGACACATAGCCCTGACAAGACTCTGGGTTAACAGAAAAGCAGACCAGATACTTTCAGATCTCTCCTGTCTTGGATGGGGTTGTATTCCCCATGAAAAGCCAGGTTCGCCACTTGGGAGTATGACTCAACACAGCAGTCACCTTAGAAAACCAGGTGGCTGTGGTGGTTCGGAATGCTTTTGCCCAAGTTCGGCTGGTGCATCAACAGTGCCTGTTCCTGAGGCAGTCAGATCAAGCCATAGTCATTCATGCCTTGGTTACATCTAGACTGGACTACTGCAATGTGCTCTACTCGGGTGTGTTTGGAGGCTGCAACTAGTGCAGAACACTGCAGCTGGACTGCTGGTCAGGGCCAGCTATAGGGAGTATGTGACCCTGACATTACAGCAATTACACTGGCTAGCAAGCCACACCCGAGCCCAATTCAAGGTGTTGTTTTTGACCTTTAAAGCCCTACATAGATTAGGATTGTTGTTACCAGTCAGTGCCATCTCACAGAAGAGCAGTTGGTTTTCCAATAGGACGTAGTGCCATATACCCTTCATATAAAAATGACACCAGACAGAAATTAAATCTATCTCATAAGCCTGGCCTAGGACAAGGAATGGCAGGCACAGCCTGGGAAAAAGTATCTGGAAGATCATCAAAGGAGGCTGGCTTGATAATAGTTCTTACCCGTCCTAAAGTAATGTATATTTTACAACATTGGGGTCTCTCAGGAAAACAGCATCACACTTTATAGTAACCTTTTATCAACATCCTGCTTCCCCCATTTGCCCACTTAGCATATTGACAACACCTGGAAGTTTCTCTTCATCCAGCACATCAAGGGGCATCCACAGATATTATCAGCTCTGGGAAAGCAAATCAAGCTCTGCCCAGTTCTTTGATTTCACTCCAGGGATACTATTAACCATATGGGAACCTTCCTGTAAGCATATCAACACTATTGTTCCTTTCATGCAACCACATCAGGTATCTTTTTGGGGTATAAATATACCCTAGCTACCCATATGTGTGCGTGTGTGTGTGTCCGCTGGACACCTTGCTCTTTAACGGACCTTTTAGAGATTCTTCAACAGACCTCTAACAGACCTGAATCTCTTCAAGACTGGTAGATATAACCTCTTCCTCAAAATCTATTTCCATCCCCAGTTTTCATCCTTTTCTTCTTAAATTTACCTTGCAAGTATGTTTAAGCATGTTCTGTGTGCATATTTCACTCTTCTATTATTTTCTAATAAAAACTCTATTGGTTGAATATCTGCCTGGTTCATTTGAGAGTCCTCAGGGAAGGACCCCCATATATAAAGATGCTGATCCTAAGTTATCCCCTCTTGCTAAAAGTGTGTTTTTATCTATGTTTGTAACCCATCTTGAGCTCTGCTAGGAAGAAAGGTGGCTAATAAATGTTTCAAAAAATAAATTTTAAAACTGATCGTTTCGTGCTTTCTTGGCTACAGAATGTTGGGGGTGAGGATGCAAGAGTACTGGCAGTCGCTCCTTATTGTTCCAAGGAAGGACTATTTAACTTGGCATAGGTTATCAGGCACCCCCCATGTCCCCATCTCCATCTCTCCGGTCTTGCAAGTGTAAAGCTCCCAATCTCCATAGTGAAAACTGTACAAAGGAATGCAAATTTACTGATACAGATCTGTTCAATTTGCATGATTTTCAATGCAGCATGCGGGTTGTGGGACTGCAGAGTTCAGAGGTTTCTGAGAGTCAAGGGGGGAGGGGAACAAAGAACAGTCGTACGGAGTGTTCTTACTGTGTAAGACGACTTGCTGGTAATTTCCAAAAGCTTCTGCTTGGCTCTCCGCTCAGAGTCACGAGCTTCCTGGAGGTCCTGTTTGAGCTGATCTGCCTCCTTTGCCCTGTGCACGGCAACAACAAAAAAACAGTCAAGGGCCAGAGTTGGGCAACAACAGATCAAAACCAGGCCTGTAGTCATGACCCTGCGCTCAGATCGCTCCCTCCCTCCAAAATCAGCAGGAAACTGCAATGCCTCATCAGCCCAACTGTGGTTCAGAGTAAGTTCTAGGAACACTTTGGCTCAGACAGCAAAAGTTTATATTTTCCAATCTAAATGACAATCGAATGCTACTACTAAGGGCAGTTAAGTCCACCGATTCCAGACTGGATAAGCAGTACTTAATTAGGGTGCTCAAGAGTACAAGAACTGCTGCACACCCCTCATATTTGACAGGTCCTTGGGAAGCTTACTGGGTAGAGAAACAGAAGGGGGCGAAGAACCAGAGAGGAATGTAAGCAAGACACCTCTTCTGAACAAAAAACTGGCAAAAGGAACGAGATGTTTGGCAAGCTGGGCACAGAAATAATGAATAAGAGAAGGCGGACGCCTGAACACAGGAGGAACAAAAAAAGAAGAAAAAAAGTCCAGAATGAAATCAGCACTATTGTTAATTTACCCACTAATGAATGCAACTTACGACAAGAGCCCTTGGCAGCAGCCCTTGTCTGCCCCGAAGATTGGGAAAGCAGAGGGCTGGAGTACAGCAGGAGGCTCGTGAATAGGAGAGGAGGGAGAGATGTGGAGCGAGATAGTGAAACGAGGGGGGAAAGTAATTAATTCCATTTAATATCTAGAGGCAAAAAACTTAATTAATGGCATCTAAATGCTTTGGAGAATACAGCTTGGTGTTTGCTGAGCAGCTGAATAATCAGTTGGTGCTGAAACCCAACAGCTCACCTAGAAGGCACTTCCCCTGTGCCTGATTCTGTGCTGTAGCACTACGCCAAAGAAGGGTGTGAGAGGGGAAGGGCTGCAGGATCCCTAGATCCACCTGCCAGCTTCTCAGAGGCAAATACCCCAGATTCTCTGCTGACACCCAGAAGCATACAACCCCAGCTTTCACTCATGCTATGCTTTGGGGGAGTGCAAGGTCTCCTTCCTTCCTGCCATTTCTTACCCTCTCTATACTCCTGCACAACGGAGAGAATGCCTCTCCTCCCCAACGCCTGAGAACCTGGAGGTGTGGAGGGGGTTGGTGATGAGCACAAAAAGAGGCCAGCTAGTAGGCCAAGCCAATATCTGTGGAGTTGCAGCAGGTAAAGGGATGTGTGTGTGTGTGTGTGTGTGTGTGTGTGTGTGTGTGTGTGTGTGTGTGTGCGCGCGCTAATGGAAAACAGAAATGCACCACAAGGAGTACTGAAGGAAAGTTGTACTAAAAAGTGTAGAGATTTTGTCCACTAAGCTGCCTGGTTAAATGGGCCACTTGTGCTGATTCAACTACAATAAGAATAATATGTGTCATTTCTGTTTAAACAAGTATAATTCTTGTATTTACAGCATTCGTAGCGCTTCAGGTATCTTGTAAAGTAGGTCAATATCGTATCTACTGAAAAGGAAGATGACCCTGAAAGTAAGACTTTACTCCCTTAAAAACTTTACCATTACAAAAATTATACTGGATGTAACTGTAACTTGTATGTACATAGGACATCCCCTATTTTTGGTGTGGGGAAAGCTAATCTTGTATTTAGTAGATACTGTATTAAAAATATGTTTCAATTTTGGTTTATAATTTTTAATACAAACTTAACCTAAAGTACATCTAGAGTATACAGTTTTGCCTAGATGGCCCAGGCTAGGCCTATCTCATCAGATAATGGAAGCTAAGCAGGTCAGCCCTGGTTAGTACCTGGGTGGGAGACCATCAAGAAGTTCAAGGTCGCTATGAAGAAACAGGCAATGGCAAACCACCCCTGAACCTCTCTGGCCTTGAAAACCCTCTGGGGTTGCCATAAGTTAGCTGCAACTTGACATTTGCCACCACTGCCACCACACAGTGTAAGTATTGCTCCCCCCTTTCAAAATAGTAAAATACTAAATTATACGATTTCCGTATCATTGTTCCCACTTGACACATTCGGGAGGAGAGACAGGGGACGAAGGCTGAAGGAACGGTGGCTTAAAGCCTCTTAACATTCATGGATTTGAATCAGCCATGCCATCATTATGCTTTCACTTCCAATCCAGCATTTGGACTAGCTGAGATGCAAACAGGGATCACCGTAGCCCCACGGTGGCTCTGCCAGGTGCCCAGCTTCTGCCACCGCCTGTGGTCACATCGTTCCTCAGCAGTAACTACACCTCAGCCACTGAGACTGGGACACCTTCCTCTGACATAACTTCTACTGATTATATTTTTCTCCCACTCTACCCTTCCACTAAAGAGATCAGAGCACTGTTCAAGATTCTCTTCACTTTGACCTCACAAAAAGCTTGTGAGGTATGCAAGGAAGAGAGAATTTCAGCCTGCTCTCCCTGGTCCTAGTCTGAAATTCCAGCCACAACATCACACTGACACATGTAAAGCGGGTGTACAATACGGGGCAAAAACACCACTGTGTCTGTATATGCAACTTGAACACCACCAATATTTATAGGATATACAATAATAAAAATATTTAAACCAGACTGCAGTCTTCCTAGAATGATTTTTATGACTAGGAAGACTGTGGTCTGGTTTAAATATTTAAGCTTTTGTACATACTATAAATACAGGACTGGATACCTTGGCGCCCAGTAACACCAAGCTGTATTCTGGGTGCCAAGGTATTTTCCTGATTATTGCAATAAACAGATATTTATACTCTCCCTGGACTGCAACCGTGTGTTCCTTATTCGGCCCTGGGAGCACACGGGGTGCAGATTTGTGCATCAGTGTTGTTCAAGCTGCATATATAGACACAGTGGGATTTTTTCCTACTGTATACTTTTCACACTGTGTTTCCCCTGTTTCTCTGGGCATGTAAAGAGGGTGGCACCAGGAAGCTTATTACTTCTGTATTCTTGAACACAAACTTAGCTAGAAGGTGTTTCCTTTCCTATCTCTGGGCGTGCAAGAAAACGCTTATGAACAAGGCCACAAGGCCATGTGTTGCATGGCCGCAAGAAACATGGCACATTCCCAAGTTATTCAGAGGTACAAAGCAAAAAGCAGAATTATTTTGCTCATAACAATTTGTCAGAACATTATCGAATAGATGTGTGTGGTGTGGTGTGGGGGTGAAATTCTAGTCTTGTATCTGCAGGAAATTCTAGTCTTTTATTTGGAGGAAACAACAGAAGCAAAAAGACTACATATTTCGGGAGTGTTGGGGGGGGGGAGAGCACATGCACACACGCACAATACTTAGACAGAACAGAAGCAGAATAATTATGGCTGGTGTGCAATCCAGAAGTAATAAGTCTTGAACAAAAAAATCTGAGCAAGTAATGTATGCCACAAGGTTCACTTTGCGCCCCACCTGATCTTACCTTCGTTCAGATTCTTCTGCCATCTTCAGTGCCAGCATCTCTGCCTCCAGCACCTTCTGCTCCATCAGCCGTTTTTCGTCTTCTGTCCGGATGGCTGTAGCCTTGATCCGCTGCATCTCCTGCTCGGCTTCAGCTGCTTTCTGAGCCAGGAGTTTCGCTTCCTCTTCTGTGATCTGGGCTTTTTCAGCCAATAAATCTGCTGTTTCTTCAGAACGCATCTGCGGAAGAGGGATGGAGCTTTACATCTGCCAGGTCTGACGTACATCTACCAGCATCCACCACTGGTCAAAGGGACTGTTGCATCTGGTGCCCGGGAAAGTTTCTCCAATGCCATAGCTGGAACCAACTGCTACATGATCTTACATCAGCCCCAGGAGCTTGGCAAAATGCCATTCCACCACTTCCTCCCTCACTTGTGTAACCCTCCATTTGCAGGGCAGTTGTATTCATAAGGCCACACACCCTGACATCGCCGGAAGTGTGTCATAAGGCCACACCCCCCGCCCCCAACGGTCCCGGCCGCCGCTGGCGGCCTTGCAGCTCCACTGCCGAGCTCCATGAGGGGCCCGGCGGTGGACCTGCAAGGCCAGCGGGAGTGCAAGGAAGCCCCGCGAAGGCCCTCCCTGGCCCCAGGCAGGCAGGGGTGGGGAGAGGCAGGGAGGAAGCAACTTACCCTCCCTCTTCTCCTGCCTCCTCCTGGCTGAATGAGGGCCGGAAGCGGGGCGGCCGGAAGCAGGGGGCGGGGCTTCGTCATGTGCCCCGCCCCCCGTACCTCACCCGGGAGAACTGCGATCCCCCCCGAAATGACCTCTGCCCAGCACTGGTGCTGGCATCTGAAGCTGTTTCTCCTGCTGCTGCCGCTCAGTGCGGGAAAAGTTGGAAGCAAGAATAGGCGGCTAAGCACTGCTGTTCCGGGCTACCAAAGACTGTTAAGCCTGGGAGGGTGAGCTGGTGGGGGTCACCCAGACAGGAAGGAGGACATATATTTAAGGCTGCCCCAGCAGGGGAGCAATAGGTGGCAGCTGGCACTGCTGCTCCCAGGGACCACTATTACCTGCTCATCCAGAAGGCAAGTGAACAAATGCATGAAGCGGCCTCATACTGAGTCAGACCACTAGTCCATCAAGGCCAGCACTGTCTACTTTGGTAGCAGCATTTCAGGCTCACCAGAAGAGGTCTCAAATAATCTCACACCTGATTGTTTTATTAGGAGATGTCATGGATTGAACATTTCCGCATGCAAAACATGTGCCACTGAGCCATGGTCTGTCCCCTTTGTGGCAAAAACAGGAAAAAACTGTTGCTAAAACAATGCAGGAGGTCCCACTGCTTGAGAGGGAAGCGGGGACAGGTAGGATACAAAATAAGAGAGAACCAGACTAGGAACACTGTCCTCCAGCCCTACAATTTGGATCTCGATTCCAACAATCCATTTTCCTAAACAGCTGTAGCCTTCTGAATTCACAGTGCAGGAACAGCCATGTCAACTTGTGGGAGAATACAGGCATACCTCCAAAAGGGAATGAATGCAGGTTTTCAGCTGCAAAGCAAGCTCTGCTGTCTCCTGCCTTTGCTCCTCAACAGCTTCCAGATCAAAAGCACAAACACATACCATGTTTCAGAGTCTGGTTTTGACTTTATTTGGTCCCACACCCTGGTCCACCCCAGGTCTCAATGTTCCCTCTAAGCTGTGGAGTCTTGTGAGCAAAAATTCTACTTTCTGAGCTACTGGCATTAAAGTTGTGAGTGAGCAATTTGGCTACTGCATAAATTGGTTTGCTCTGGAGTCATCCTTCCTGAGCTACGGCAAAAATGTGTGAGCCGGAGGCTAGAAAACTGTGAGCTAGCTCACGCTATCTCAGCTTTGAGGGAACACTGGTCTCAACATGTTTACATTCACTGGCATCTATTCAATGCATTATAATTTTAAAAACTTTTTAAAATATATTTTGAAATCTGGTTCATCAGTAAGAGAAAAATGACTTTGTGACGAATTCAGCCAATCCATACCATGTACAACTCAGCTCTGAGAAAGTAAAACGTTGTTCCATGATCAGCACAAAGGCCAGACCACCAGAAATAGACAAATCTAGTTCTTGCTATGGACAGGGGCTGGTTGGGGCCGGAGCGCGGGGGAGCGGCGCTCCGGTAGTGAGGAGTCGAGGGGACGGGCACATGACCAAGCCCTGCCCCCTGCAATTGCCGGGCATGAGGAGGGAGATCGGGAGGGACAGATGGTGGGAGCTCTGCAGGTAAAGACCTGACTCCTGAGGTGAAGGGGCCCACGCCTCTCGCCATCTCCGACCCACGCCTCCACATGGGGGGCCGCTGGAAGGAAGCCCGCCTCCCCACCATCACCGGCCTGCGCCTCCGCGCACAGGCCACTGGAAGGCCACCCACCTCCCCCCCACCATTGCCAGCCCGTGCCAAAGCCTGCCCGTCCACCCCATACTTTCTTTCCCTCCTTCTTTCCTTCTCTCTCTCTTTCTTTCCCTCTTTTCTTTCTTTTTCTTTTTTTCTCCTTTTTTCTTCTCTCTTTC